GAGAGAGAGAGAGAGAGAGAGAGAGAGAGAGAGAGAGAGAGAGAGAGAGAGAGAGAGAGAGAGAGAGAGAGAGAGAGAGAGAGCTATTGGCATTGAGGGGGGGATTCGTATGTGAGGGGCGACAGAAAACCTCTGTGGGTGGAGGTTGCATTTCCGCAATTCCCAGGTGTGTCCTCTGGGAAGTTCAAGGGTCGGTCGGGTTCTCCGACTTGCCCCCTCTGACAAAGAACAGGACAAGCGACCGATTGATCTTTGGTGGGCCATTTGTTTGTTTCCCGGAATCATGAGTGAGTGACGGTCCAACGCCCTGGGGGCGCCGCGAATACGGTAGGGAGTGGAGTGACCTGGAGCCAAGGGTTCTCCGTTGAATTAGCCCCTTTTCTCCGTTCGTTCCTAGCATAGAGCTGAATCAGTGGATTATCCAATCCTTGAATCAATCAATCAATCGAGACCAATCAATCAACTAACCGACCACTCAGCGAATGAATCTATCAATCAATCAAATCCTTCAATGTCTATCGATCGATCAAGCCACCGAGTAAATGATTGATTGGCAAATCGGGGTCAAGACGTGATCCTGCCGGGTTCTCGTCTGCGAATCTGTGACGCCGACTCCTTCCCTTTTCCTGTCTCTGTCTGTCCCGTTCCCTTTCCCCCCGCCCTCCCCTCTCCCCCTCCCCTCGCCGTCCACCCCCGGGCTCTTTCTGTCTCTCTGTCCACACCACGCCATCTGAATGTGGTCTCATGAGGAAGATGACGAAGGATTCGAGGATGGGGATCTCGCCATCGCCAAGACTTGATTGAGCGTTGAGTTGTTGCGTATGCATAATTGGAGTGGACTTCGCTACCACAGTTGGCGGAGGATCTTTGTAATAAGCGAGTCAGTACAGAGCGTCGTGGGCGGCTCGTGTCGGTACAGGTGGCCGCTACTTAAAGATCGCCCGGAGTGTAGATCGGGGTTGGGGAGTCGGTTGGGTTGGGAGGAAGGATCGGCGGCGGGGGTGGACGAGGCGGGAGAGGCGGCGGAGGCCGAAGACGACGAAGGCAGGGCAGCAGGTGTGGGTGTGCATGTCGGGAAGGAGGAGACTTGGGGTGTCCCAGGGCGTGGACCTTTCGTTCGCATTGATGTAGGGAGGGGGCGGGGGGGGAGAGAGGGTTGCAATTGTTGCGTGTAAGGCAGAGGGTAGCTGGGGTGTTGGGGGGGGCATAATAGGTAGGTAGGTAGGCAGGTAGGTAGCTTTGGAGGCCGTAGTCAGCTTTCCATGTGGCGTCAGGCGGGGGCATCTGCTGGGGATGATGGCGGCGGAGGGGGAGGAGGGGGGGGAGGAGGAGCAGGCTGTTCCGAGGGAAGTAGCAGCGCGAATGCAGGAAGGACGAGTAACGGCGAGGCAGGGGGTGCTCGCAGAAAAGGAGGTGGAGATGGAGAAGGAGGGGAGCGCGCCGCCGCCGGAATCGCTCTCGCTCTCCTTCTGAGCGATTCCGGCGGCGGCGGCGGCGCTTTTCCCCGTTCGCTGCCTTGTTGCAGCAGCAGCAGCAGCGGCAACGGCACCAGTTCTTCTCACCGTCACCATCATTCCTATAAGCATCATCCCCACCCCCAATCCCATCTTTACCGCCATCGCCAGTACGAACTTTTCGGTCGGGGATCGACGGACGCCGACAGTCGGAAGAGCATTTGTTACGTGTTGGACGTGGCGGCGCCGCCGGCGGGGGGCCGGTCGCCGTCCTTCTGCGAAGGCGGGAAGATCAATATCGACGGCGTGAGGGAGGTCATCCGGCACCGCCTGCAAGGGCTGCGATGGAGCGAGTCGCAGCCGTACGGCTTCTACAAATTCGAGTGGTTTGTCTCGTGCAAGCACGGGCCGAAGGTCGTGGAGATTGATAAACAGGCGGTGTACGGGAGCGTAAGCTTCGGCAGGCGGGAGTTGGTGGTGGAGGGGCAGGCCAATTTCAGCACCGTCGAGGCCAATGCCCGGGTATTCGATGGCAAATGGATGTATGAGGTGACTCTCGGAACGTCAGGGATTCAGCAGCTGGGGTGGGCGACGGGGAATTGTCCGTTTAACAGTGACGATGGGGTGGGGGATGTGCCGAATTCCTACGCGTTTGATGGGAAGAGGGGGAGGAAATGGAGCCCTTCGTCGCCGCAGCTATACGGTCAGCCATGGGCCAATGGCGACGTCATCGGTTGTTGCATTGATTTGGAGTTGGGAGAGATTTCCTTTTATAGGAATGGGGTTTCGATGGGCGTGGCCTTCTCCCAAGTACGCACCGAGTATGCTTATTTTCCCGCCGTGTCCATTCTCCACGGAGAGCGGTGCGAGTTGAATTTCGGCGGGCGACCTTTCCGATATCCGGTTGAGGGATTCGCGCCCCTCCAGGAACCGCCGCTCGTTGCGCTTCCGCTCGATCCGGAGGAGTCACTGCGATGGGGGAAGTTGGGACTCTACGGCAGTGCGACGGCGCAAGCGCAGTATCTGTTAGAGTGCTTGCGACGGCTTGTGCGCGCTCGCAAACCTGGCCGAGGCGACCTCGGCGGCGATGATGGTTCTCCTTCCTTTTCGTCTTCTTCTTCTTCTTCTTCTTCTTTTTGTTTCTCGTCTTCTTCGTGTTCATCGGCGAGTGTGCGGTCGTCGATCGAGCGGCTGACTATGGTGGACCCCTTGGAGAGTAAGGATGTACTCAGCGTAGCGGGGGCCATCTGTGTTTACCTCAGCCCGTTGCTGACGGGGGATGTGAAGCTGGCGGCTAATCAGCTTAACTCGAAGCCAGAGAGGAAGCGATGGGAAGGCGCGCCAAGAGCGCGGTCACGGAGCTCGGTGGGTCTTTGTCGTGACGATTTCCAGCTTCTGTACTCCGTTTCCTACGACGTTTGGGGCGAGCCTATGAGCAGCAGCAGAAGAGGAGCAGTGGGAGGAGGGGCAGGTGGACTGCCAGGATCCACTGTCCTCTCGTCCCTTTCTTGCTCTAATAGTAAGTCGTGTAGAGGCTATGATGATGGCGCAGTGGGAGGAGGAGGGGGTGTCGCGTCCGCTGCTGCTGTGATGACTTCTTCTTCCCCCTCTTCTTCTTCATCCACGTCATCCTCATCAGCGTCGTCTTCGACTTATCCCGGATTAGAGTACGTGATTTGGGCCACTCTAGTTCCCTTCTTGCTTGAAACTCTAGGTCCCTCTCCACCTCACGATGGGGATACCCTCGATAACGTCGTCTCTCTGCTTCTGCGGTGCTTAGACTCTGTCGCTCTCGAATTTTGTATTCCTGAGATTTTCGAGGCTTTGGCCTATGGGTGTCGGACTTCTTCGCTGGTTCCTCGCGACTATCCTTATACCGGAGCGTATAAGTATCTGGCGCTGGCATGTAGACTTGTGAAGAGCCGAGAGGTGATGGAGCGATGGTGGAGGTCACCGGGTTTCGATGTGTGTCTCGAGGGCTTGCTGACCCGCAAAACGCCCAACAAAGTGGATCTGGAGGGTCTCTTTCCCGTGGTCTGGTGGCATGGAACGAGAGAGGAGTGCTGCTCGGAGACGAAGATGAAACAGGCAATGCAGGGACTCGGAAGTGCGATGAAGAAGGTTCGTATCTAGTGAGCTTGGTCCGGATCTACGTTCGTTCATGTCCCTTTTCCGGTTGATTGGTTGTTACTTTGGTTAACAGTAATTTAGTACTCTTTATTTTAATGTGAATGAAAGCTTCTTCTCGCTTTTTGTTTGTCTGTGGACGTTTTATTTAAATTACAACAAGGATACGTATCACGTGTGTTGTTTTAGGTGTTTTTTTTTTATTTAAATAATGGTTTACCTCTATCTTTGTGGTATTTTATTCTATTTGTATGTTTTTGATGTGATTGTGTTCTTTTGTTTTTCCCCTCCCCCCTTCCATATGTGTTACCAAGTGCCGAGTTTTATATTTCATTGTTTCTTGTCAGTTTTCGGATTTTGACAGTTTGTATTTGTTGTCGTGGATTTGGGATTGGGATTGGGATTGGGATTGGAGGGGTGCTGTGTGTGATACGGTTTGCCTTGTGTATATCACCGCATTATTTGTATATGTAGTGCACCTCTTTTCTCTTCTCCTACGTCATGCGATTATTATTACTGAAATAGTTTTCTGCATGGTTTACGTCGATCTTCGACTTCTTCTTCGGGTCTTATGGGTTATGATGCTAGATCTTTCCCACTTTGCACTTCGGGGCATCCGCGAAAACTGGAACGATGCAGAGAAGATTGGCATGGCCCCTGCGCAAGGATGATGACACGTCATATCTTTCCCACTTCTTCTCACCTGCTTCTTCCAGATTCCATTTCTATCACCTTTACCGTTGTTTTTTCTATTTTTTCTGGTACCATTCCCGTCTTCCACGAAATGCACGCGTAGCCCCCTTCGCCATCCCCTCCCTCTCTCGTCCTCCCCCCCGGTTGCTCTCTGTTGAGCCGATGTTCTGTCGTTTGACGGCGAACGAATGCGGAGCGACTATACCTTCTTATAACGTAACGGTAGAGCTTTCTTCCTCGTTTTTGTTCTTTTTTGTTTATCACTGCTACTCTTGACGTAACGGTTTATAAGAGCTTGTGGTGCTGCACGAGTTGTCTGATGCCTGTGTTATCCTTCCCGCTTTTTTTCCTTTTGTGCACCTCGCTCTCCCACCCTTTCTTGTGCGTCAGGTCTCGGAATGGAACTTGCGTGCCGCTCCCGGCCCGCCGCCGTCATTTTATTTTTTTTTCCGCCGGGAGCCGTCGCTTTTTCGTTCTCGCTCGCACAGAAATTCTTGTGGTCGGTTTCTGAGTGTATGACGCTGTTTAATTTTTTATTATATTTCCTATGTTATTACGGTTTTTGGCGAGGATCCGATCTGAGGTATCACAGGTGTAAAGACTGGTGGGACGACCTCGGTGGGTAGTGGGTGTTGTTGCCAGAGAGATGAAGGGGGAGGACGCCAGCGTGGCTGGTACCCGGCACGAGTAGTGAGTTGTCTTTTTGTCCTTTCCTTACCTATTATATTATGAATAGTCTTCCATACAGGGCACGTCGACATGTTTTGCCCTCTTTCTTTACTGTATAATAAATAAAAAAGGATGTGAGTATGATTCAAACTGTAAAGGCTGCTATTCAAATTGTGATGTAAAGTATGTTACGTATTACGGTATTAAAACCGGTGTATGCGCGCCCTCTCTTTGCTTTACTTCACTGTATAATAAAGGAAGGATATTAGTTTGATTCGAACTGTGAAGGCTTTTTTTCTGCGTGAGAGAGAGAAGGCTGTTATTTCAACTGTGAAGGAAGGCAGGCTGTTATTCGAACTGTGAAGGAAGACTGCTATTACGATATGAAAACCGTCCAGGACGTTTGATTTGTAAAACCCTGACGGATGTTATTATTATTATGACCGTGAAGGATAGGAGATTATTATTGAAACTTATTATCCGACGTTTGATTTAATTTCGGGGATGCGCACACTTGGGCCGAAAGCTGAAAGCTCCGTTTTCCTTCTCCTCTCTCGTCTCCCCGCTCTCTGCGTTGTCCGCATCCTGTTGTAAGTGTTAGGCTCTGTCTGTTGGCGGGGCTGAGGTAATCTTTCCTTCCCTGGCATCTCTGCTGTTGTGTGGTGCACTGTAAGCCGTTCAATCGGTGCCGGTGGGGGAGGGAAGACAAGATTTATGTGCTTCTCGTCCGACGGGGTTTCACTGCGTCTGATCGTCCCATGGGGTTCCGGATTTTCCACTGAAAATCCGACGTCGATGGGGCTCCGGATCTTCACCCGCATCTGACCGTCCGAGGCGGTTCTGGCTGACCGTCGGATGGGGTTCTGGACTTTTTGCTGTCGTCTGCATTTCGTGTAGCGAGACTGGCAGGGTGCATGACGATGTGCGTGCACTCGCTGCATGGCGATTGTTTTTCGGTTTCGGTCTGGGACTTTCTCAGGGGAGTTTCTGCTTTCTTGACAGGTTTCCCAACATCATCTTTCTTTGGGGTTTTCGTCGTCGTCCTGTGGCTTTGGCCTCGCCGCACCACCCAACAAACATGCAAAATAGAGAACATATCTCCCGCAGGAATTGTGAAAGATACGTCCGCCATAGTTTTCTCTTTTCCGCGTTCGGTGATTGATGCTGCGAGGATCGCCTTGTCTACCGGAGGAGGGGAGGGTTATGAATGATGATCTGATCTGGGGGAGTGTGTGCGGTTGCCCATTGTGAGCCGTCATCGGGTTTGTCGATCGACTTTCTTGTTCACGGCGGTGGGACTTTTYTTTTTYTCTGTGTTTATACATTCGGTTAAGAAAGTTCGATGAACCGTATGCGGCGTATCAACCGCCCCATGCACGTAGGTAGATTCACGCGGCGAGCACCGATTGCATGCACTGAGGAGGGTTTATTTTATCTGATTTCAGTCACAAATATTCATCCATGATCCATCTGTGGCACGTTACATTTATAGATGTATTACTATTTTTTTTTTCTCTTCTGAAAATTACTTTCTTTGTGAAGTACTGATTGAATGTCGATGAATCCGTTTCGACTTCAGTTTATGTATTGGCGGGGTTTGCCCGATGTGTGAAATCTCTCTCTCCTCCTCTTCCCCCCCCGACGGGGCTCCTTTCCCCCTTTTCTTCTGCCCTCCCCCGCCTTAACGGCTAGGCGTTGCTGAATGGTTCTCCACCTCTTGGCGTGTCCAATTCTCGAAATCTGGGTCGTGCATTTGGCGAGAGCCAAAAATATTGAACGAGACTGAGTGGATGGGATGGATGTTTCACGTGTCTGTTGGGGCTTCGTCTGTGATTTTGTGTTACGTCCTCTTGATGGAAACGAATTAGTAAATATGTAGCATGTGGCCATCAAGCGGGATCTACTGTGTTGCCTCAGAATATTTCGTCATCATCAGGTTAAAGCTCTTGACCTTTGGAGGTAGAAAACGCCGGAAGCTTTGTGACTAATTGGGGATTTGGATAATTATCAAAGTTTGTGGCTGGGTACGGAGAAAAATGGCGGCTTTCACTTCTCCGCTGCTACTGAAAAAAAAATGGCTGTTTTGTCCAAGTGCGTGTGGGAAAACGAATGCTGGAAAAGGAGACGAGAAAAAATACAAAGAAGACAACACGTGCTGTAGGAACAGCCGATCTGACCTCGTTCCCCCCTCCCCCCCGCCCCCGCCCCCGCCCCGGCTCGAACTTGTGCTTTCCCTCCCTCGTCTCCTCATTCGTCTTGTCCCTTGCCTCCTCCCTCGTCTCCTCCCTCGTCTCCTCCCTCGTCGCCATCGGCCCGTGTCTCTATCCCACGTCGAGGCGCTCACCTCTGGTAAAGATATGGCAGCCGCAATACCGATCCGAGAATCGAACACGCAACATTCCGCTTGCCAGACGGACTCCATCTTTTTGGAAAAAGGGCTTTCGCATGTGGTAGATGGTGGTTTTGTTCTCCCGCTCTTTTCCGGAGCTGTTGAAGCCTTTCTACCTGCTTCATCTTGTCGTTCTATCTTCCTCCCCCGGTCTCTTTTCCTTTCTCACTTTTTCACGTCGCTCGAGCACGTTGTGTAGAGAGAGAAAAAGAAGTTCCCCCGCCCCCCCCCGCCAGTTTCCTTTCGCTCCCCCTTTCCTATTTCCCCCCTTTCCTTACAACGGCAGTCTTTTGTCTCTCTCGCTAACCTGCTCAACTAACGCACGCACGACTGTCTGGCACGGAGGACGTGTAAAGTTGTGAACTACAGATTCTTCGGTATTTGTCGGTTCCTCTGGCTTTTGGTTTTCGTTCTTCAATCTCTTCCTTATCTTCTCTTTTGGTTGGAATTTCTTCTTCATTAACTATATCTTGTCGTTTCTTGTAGTTTTTCACATGCGCTCATAGTTGATGGTTGTGTGTCACATTCACAATGTATGCTTGTAGATGTATTTGGTGGTGCCCGCCGCCTTTTACTTCTTTCCCGCCTTCTTCCCGCCTGCCCACTTTGCCCCGTTCTACTTCTTTCCCTTCTGATCTCTCACCTGGTTTCGTGTTTTGTTTATCTGTCCTTTTTGCCGTCGTATTTTTTCTGCGTTGCTTTATTACAAAGGTGACCGACCTGCACTTCATTTTCTTTTTTTTTTTAATTCTGCAGTTGATCGACCTCTGATTGATTTTGTTTTTTTTTGTTGCTTTTTTCCGTGGTTGACCGACCTCTGATTGGTTAATTTTGTGTTTATTCGGCACGTGATCGAGACTTGTACTTAGTCGTGAAGAGAAGGGGGAACGGCGGACAACTTATTATTTTATTTTTCGAGGATAAGCGTGGGAACCAGGCAACATGTTTTTATCTTATTTTATTTAATTTTCCCGGCAGCTGTAGTATATTGTTATAACAAGGCCACGAAGATCATCTTTTAGTTGGGATACTGTCCTCTATCTGGATACATCTGTCTGTTGCTCCTACAGCTGGTATGATGATGAAGACATGATTCTACGGGAAAATATTCATAAACGAAGAAAAAACGAAAAGATCAGACGACGATGATGGTGTGGTGTCGATGGTAAGATGATGATGATGGTGATGACGAGGATGAGGATGAGGTTGATGTCAGAGCGATTTGGATGATGATTAATGACGA